TTTGAGAGGTGTTCGCTATAGGGCACATGTGCTCACCAGAAAAACAGAAAGAGACAGAGAGACAGAAAGCGAGACATCACCCCCCAGGGGGGATGGCCACACCACAATCCCTTCTCCTCCATTCTCCTCTTGGGATCTTGGGAACACACACACACGTGCCCTGTGTGAGTTTAAGCCATCGGGTCCAGGACTCGAATCGCGGTTGACTACATGGTAGTCCAGCAACATAGCCATTACACCAACTGTTGGTTCCCAAAAAAAGTCTTATAAAACAGAAATAAAGCCTAAATATCTTTTTTAAAGAAATAGGAGGGTCTGAGGAAGGACATTTAGAAGAAAAATAGGGAGGCAAAGCATTAATGGCACAAAGAATTGTGGTATTATCTGTTGAAGATATTTTGTAGTTTTATCAACTGTTCTAGGGAGAAAGGTTCACCTGTTGAAATATTCATTTAGTAAGCCAAATAATAATCTGATTGAATGTATAAAATAAAATGAAATTGAAAAAAAAGAAAAAAATTAAAATAATTACTTTATTTAACTTTATTTATTTATTTGTTTATTTTTAATTTGACTAGAGAGGGACAGAGCATGAGGGAAAGTAAGAGAGAGAGGAAAAATGAAAAAGGAAGCCACCAGGTCTGGAACTCAAACCACAGTGGGCCATGTGGGAGTCCAGAGTCCTTAACCACCATGCCACCTGCCAGCCCCCAAGTCTAAATATCTTAAACAGAAATACAAACATCTTCATTAAAATTTATGAACAAGGACCAGTAGGTGGCATGGTGGTTAAGGTGCTAGATACTCCCACATGGCTGACCACGGTTCAAGTCCTGGACCTGGTAGCTTGCTCTCTCACTTTCCATCTCTCTCTCTTTCTCTCTGTCTCTGGTCAAATTGAAATAAATGAATGAATAAATTAAATAAAATAAATCTTTAAAAAGTTTATGAACATAGAGTAAAAATGTATTTTTGCTTAACCAATTACATGAATAAAGCTGCTTTTTAGTTTTCTTCAATGGCAACCCCATTTTATCCACAGAACAAATTTGTAAAGTTTCTAACTCAAATAAATCATGATATCGTGACTAAAGATGTATTACCGATTGAACATTTATTACTGAATGCATGTTTAAGGAAGTATATTCAAGTGGTCTTAATTTCCCATTATGTTATGGAGAACAAGGCATGAGTAGAGTCATTTTAAAACATTTCATGGCCCAGCAGGTGGCATGGAGGCTAAAGCAGCAGGACCCCATATGGGCTACTTGGCAGTTAGAATCCCAGGTGTGTGTGTGTGTGTGTGTGTGTGTGTATGTGCGTGTGTGTATGTGTGCACGCACCCCCAGAATTCTAAAAAGAGAATGGAGGAGAAGTGGCCGACCACTCTAGAGGGTGCTTTCTCTCTCCCTCCCTCCCTCCCTCTCTTTCTGTCTCCTTTTCTCTTTCTCTCCAGCAAATGTCTATACCTATAGAAATCTGAAAAAAAAAAAAAAACATACATTTCAGTCCCATTCTATACAGCAACTGGTTTATTCACAGGGTCTGACATTTCCAGATTCTTCTGACTGAATTCAGATTGCTATATGGTTGTTTTATTCATTTTCATTATTCATAAATTAAACCTTTATTTTTCTTTTTATTGAAGTATAACAGATATACTGAAAAAGGCAACAAATCATGAGTTTACAATTCAATGGATATTTACAAACTGAACACATGCACATAATTAGCATTCAGATCAAAAACAAAGAACAGGGGCCAGCAGGTGGCATGGTGATTAAGGTGCTGGACTCCCACATGGTCAACCACGGTTAGCCACATGGTCAACCACGGTTAGAGTACCGGACTTGGTGGATTACTTTCTTTCTCATGCATATGCATGTGCATGCATGCATGGGCCAGATAGCAAGTTTAAAAATAATAATAATTAGGGGGAAGTGGGTGGTGTGATGGTTAATGGTGCTTTGCACTCCACATGTCTGACCACGGTTTGAGTCCTGGACCTGGTGGCTTGCTTTCTCACTTTCCTCCTCTCTCCATGTCTTTCTCTGGTCAAATTAAAATAAATAAATGAATAAGTAAAATTAAATAATTATTTTTAAAATAATAATAACAATAATAATGGGACCAGTGGATGGTGTAATGGTTACATCGTTGGACATCCACGTAGTCGACTGTGGTTTGAGTCCCAGACCCAGCAGCTTAAAACTCACACCAGGTGCATGTATATGCATGCCCAAAAACCCAAGAGGAGAATGGAGAAAGAACTGTGGAGTGGCCATCTCCTGGGGGGAGGGGGGGTGTGATTTCTTGCTTTCTGTCTCTTTGTGTCTCTCTGGTGAGCACACCCCCACCATAGCAATAATCTCTCTAAAATAATAATGATAATACATAAAATTATGAGGCAGTCAGAAAAGTTATGACTTTTTTGCATAGAAAAATATGTTATGACTTTTCCAACAACCCAATAAATAAATAAATAATTCTAAAAAAAAAGAAAGAAATAAAAACAGAACATGACCACCATTCCTGCAATCTCCCTCATGTTTCTTCCCAATTGCCACACCCCAAAGATAACTATGATGCCTGGCTTTTAACACAGAGATTTTTTTTTTAATCTGTGCATTATAATCAATTTCTAATAAATCCAATATTTTGCAGAGCCACACTATTTCAGTATCAGTATCACAAACACAAGATCAGTGAATTCATAGTTCAAGCCAAAAATTACATTGCTGTTCTGTTTCTATAGCACCCCATTTGGAAACTATCTCCACCAAGGTTCCAAGCTGGAATAAAGCTACTTATTCATTCAATGAACCAAGAGCATATTAAGTAAAACAACAGAGTTTCTTAAAAGCAGCACTCTTCTTCCAACACTCTGGAAGAACTAATGGACAGAATAAGACCTGAAGTCAAGAGGCATTCCTCTGTACAACCCTGTGAAACTATTTATCTGGATAAATTAACAATGAAAACTCTAATTCTGTATTAAAATCCTCATCATCTTCATCAGCTACTATTTCCAACTACACACCAAATGACTTAAACTCACAGTCTTTCCTGGCAAGACAAGACTGAGCCACTAGTTCAGTGTGCCCATGAGAATGGCAATGAGAAAGCTTATTTGAACCAATAATCAGCATGGTTTGAAAATGCTTGCCTGAGCTTTTCCATGAGGCTAACAGTAGACCTCTCATTGGAAACAATGCAAGCAAGGAAAGAATGGGAAAATATATTCAAAGTGTTAAGGGAAAAGCAATTTCAACCAAGAATACTGTACCTGACAAGATTATCCTTCATAAGGGAAGAAAAGACAAGAACATTCTCAGATACACAAAACCTGAAAGAATTTACCAACACCAGACCACATCTCCAAGAAGTTCTCAAGGGAGTGCTATACCAGGAAAATTAAATACAGACACAAAATAGGGAGAAGAAAACCATCTATGAACCAGAAAGTGGGTCCTTACTAGACACTGAATCTGCTTGGGTCTTGATCTTAGACTTTCTAGACTTCAGAATTGTGAGAAATAAATTTCATGTTATTTACAAGCCAATCTACGGAATTATATTGGGTTGTCAAGAAAGTCATGACATATTTTTGCATGAAAACAGAAAACTACATCATGACTTTCCCGACAACCTAATATTGTAATAGCCCGAACAGACTAAGAAATACTTTAGACAATCCACAATAAGTGGAGAAAAAGAAAGAAAGAAAGAAAGAAAGAAAGAAAGAAAGAAAGAAAGAAAGAAAG